CTCCCGTAAAGATTTACACCCTCGGAAACCCTGTACAGGGTCGCTATGGGTCGGACCCGACTCGATGGCACTTAACAACAACAACAACAACAGATGCCTTCAAGGCCATTCCAACTCACTGCAATGTTGTATAGGTTTTCCGAAGAGTAGCTGGTAGGTTTGAACCGCCCACCCTGCAGTTTACACTGACCTGTGGTCCAGCGCAGTAACCCACAGTACCATACCAGGACTCAAATACACCTACTCCTCACTTATTGACTATCTTGTTAAACTGGCAGTTTGCATATATGACCATAGGAAAAAACTACTATCCAACTATTTTGTGCATTAACAGTATACAACTGGCAGTAATGAGCACTGAGGTCTGAGGCGAGAGTGACCCTGGCTGTGATGGGTAAGGTTAGGTAGGTGTCAACTGGGCTGAGTCATGATTCTCAGTGCTTCAGCAGTTATGGAATTATGTCATCCTTCATTTTATCATCTGCTGTAGACCTCCTCCATTTTTGCATCATGCTGATCTTTGCGTAATGACCTGGTCTTTGGAACCTAACTATGTTGATAAGTGAAGGTTAGGTGTAATTCTATAAACAAGAGTACCAGGGCAACTGCACTAAGGAAAACAAAAGCGTTTTAGAAGCTTTAGTTTACTTAGCAATAATGGAGAAGCTAATTGCAAATTAATTTTATCTGTTTTTAAGGGGAGAGGCGTTTCCAGATGCCTTCTCTGTAGGTGTGTACAATCATGTGTTGTAGAAAGTAGTGAAATTAAAATTCTTAGAAAAACATGTATAATCCAGACTCAGAACCTCCAGCCTTGGGTAGTACATTTTTATTGTTCTTCTCTTTGCCCAACTAAGTGCCAAGCACTAGTTTTAAATAAAAAATGCCCACTTTTTACTGCCCAGATTAGAAGCCACCCAAACCATGTTTCCACTCACCACCATTTTCTAGAAGACAGTCTGTTTTTTGTCACCACTCTACATGGCTGTTCCCAGGATCCATATAAGGTGGACTCTATGTGGTTCAGTCCCCTGAGGCCCCGGGGCTCTGACCCCTCCTTCCTTGGACTGGGCATAGAGGGTCTGAGAGGCTGTGCTTTCCTACCCAGCATCAGCCTCTCTTTTCTCCCTCTGCCAGCCTCCTCCTGGGGCTCTGGAGACCAATAGGTTTGCTTTCTCTTCCTCACTCAGGGGGTGTGAAACTCGGCCTTGGGGACTTCATCTTCTACAGCGTACTGGTCGGCAAGGCAGCAGCCACAGGCAGTGGAGACTGGAACACCACGCTGGCCTGCTTTGTGGCCATCCTTATTGTGAGTGTATGCTCGGGGGACTGTGTGACCTCCCAGAGTCTTCATGAGGGGAGTTTTCAGGTGCAGTCTTCCCTCTGAGGAGCAGAGATAGTTATTAGATTTGGGTGGGGCTGTCAAGATCCTGTACACCAAGCATTTTCTGGAGGTTGTAGTTGTCAACAGGAGTCCCTGGGTATTGTAAACAGTTAATTCACTCGACTGCTAACTAAAAGATTGGAGATTTGAGTTTACTCAGAAGAAAGGCCTGACAATTTCTTTCCAAAAGATCAGCTATTGAAAACCCCATGAAGCACAGATCTAGGCAAGTGGGTTCAGCATGAGTCAGAATCAACTCGATTGCAGCTGGCTGGGTGGGTGGTAGTGATTAACAAGACCTTCTGCAGACTGTTGAAGACAGCACATGAGGTGACCCAGGAGCTCTGGTACTCACTTAGCAGCACTCCATGCCAAGGACTTGGCCATCAGCTTTGTGTGCTTGTCTCACAATACACTGTGTGGTAGGTATGTTTACCTTAGATTTTTAGAAATCTAAAAATGAGCATCACTTGGTAATGGGGAGAAAAGATGCAGTCAGGGCACAAAGGCACTGAGTTGGGATGGAAACTCAGTTCTTTGACTCCAGAGCCTGCATAGTTCCCCCTCCTCTCTGTCTCCCAAACAACATAGGATTCTGAATTCTGGGGTCTCTTGAGGTGTGGAGGGCAACCCAATGACTTGAACCCCAGTAGAAAATTTGGAGGCTCCTCCAGTCACTGGAGTCCTGGTTTGATGCTGTTGGGTAAGCACTGGACTGCTAACTAAAAGGTTGGCAGTTCAAACCCACCAGCTGCTTCTCAGAAACCTTAAAAGGGTTGCTATGAGTCAGAATCAACTTGGCACTAACAACAGTATGTCACTGGTGTGGTGCTGCAGTGTATACACTGGACTGGTAACTGCAGGACCTCCAGTTCCAACCTATTAGTCACTCTCGGAAACCCTAAATAGGATCACTAGAGCTGGAACCAGCTTAATAGTACACAGCAATAACAAATAGTTTGTACTTAATGTGGCCAAATGCACATAATGGAGAAACATGCTATTAGATTTTACCTTACAACTTTTAGGATCAAAAGAGGTAGAATTTCAGAGTAGTCCACACTCAGTGCTGTGCTCCTTGAGGAAAGCTCTGGGCCTTACATGGCAGGACACAGTAAGGCTGGTGGCCCAGGTTTGTGAAGATTCATTTCTGCCCACAAGTGAGTGCCAGAGACAAAGTGACAGGCCTCCAGGCCCTCCACTTCAGACAATCTGACCTGAAGCCTGCGGCTCCCCCAGGGGTAGGTCTGATACTTTGGTTCCTTGTCCCCACCTGGGTTCACTGCCTAACTTGACAGGGGGCCTGGGATGGTCATCCTCCTCATTTGCTTCCCCTAGGATGTTTCCCTTGTTGTGAGTTGCTAATACCCTCCCCAACATTGCAATCTATCCCATCCAGTTCTTTTCCTGTGGGGAGGTGTGTTACCATGAGTAACTGATAGACCAGGGAAGCATCTGACTGTCATGAGTCACTGTAATAGGCAGACTGTGGAGACAGTGTACTTTAAGAAAGTAGCCTGCCATAGGTGTCAAGAGGCTACTTTCTGGCTCACCCACTAGCATGTGGGGTGTTATAATAGGAGTGTGAACATCTGCCCTCTGATACCTCGCAGAGCTATTGAGAATCAGGGAAGACAGTGAGTGATAAGTCCTTAAACAGTTCAGGGACGAGGCCATCACTGAGCCCTTCACCAAGTGTTCCTTTCCCTCCTCACTGGACGTATCCATACAGTGAGGTCACCCATCTTACCCATCACCTTCTCTGTGTCCTGCAGGGTTTGTGTCTGACCCTCCTGCTGCTAGCTGTGTTCAAGAAAGCACTGCCTGCCCTCCCCATCTCCATCACGTTTGGCCTCATCTTCTACTTCTCCACAGACAACCTGGTCCGTCCTTTCATGGATACCTTGGCCTCCCATCAGCTCTACATCTGACATGAAGCATGGTGCTGTGGGCTGGAACTTGATGCAGTTGTATAGTTTTACACTAGTGCCATATATTTTTGAGACTTTATTTTCCTTAAAAAAAAAAAAAAGAAAGAAAGAAAAGCCTTGTGTTTACTTCGTGAAGATGAAGCAGAACCAGCTTTTTGGTGCTAGTTGCTTTTTGTCACCAGACTTTGGCTCACCGCATCATCAGCATTCACTTCATTGACAGGGAACACTTATTTATCCAGATGAACTAAGAAAGGTACCCGATGTGGGAAGGGGGTGTGGAAAAAGACACTTTATGGCCTGAAATTCTCTAAGGGCTGATATGAATTTTGTTCATTTATTAGGGACTAGGAATACATGCTTGGAAAACTTGACTAAGCACTTGTGCTGTCCAGAGATGATAAGCCAATGTTTTCTGCAAGGAATGTTCCTAGTGCTTTGTCTATGATGTCATTGTTATTCTATTACCTTTAGAAACGGAATCCCATTCTTGTGACAAGTTACTGCTGGGAAATGGTTTAATATTAGTATCAATAAATAGATTAACCCCTGTGGAATATTGATGTCTTTTTTAAACGCTGACCCCTCTCCCTACATCTCTGCAACAGTCCCGGGATAATGTGTGCTACAGGTACCGAAGGAAAGAGATTTGTTCAGTTAGAAGGAAAGAGGCTTTACTAAGTCTTCCCTCTCAGAAATTACTTATTTGACCAGGTTTCCTAAGCAAAGGTTTTGAGCAGCAATGTGTGAGCTCTGAACTCTTTGCCAACACTGCTGTTGTGTGCAGGCTGGCCAGTTGCCCAAATGTCAGTGGCTCCTTTACAAGCATCTGCCCTCAACAGAAGCCCACACAGGGGGCCAGGTGAGAGCTGATGTTCAGAAGTTCACACTTCTTTCCTTCTGTGACTGTAGCTCTGAGCATTCCAGTTGGACAAGGTGGAGTGGACAAGTTGGGGTTTCCTTTTCCTTTGTGCATCAGACAGTGTCCTGGCTGCAAGGAGAATCTCTTGATGGTGATTTAGGCATCTTGACTTAAGCCTCAGAGTAAGTCACTGTAACTGCTAGTGAGTGCTGAATTACTAAGACAATGCAGGTGCTGAGTTTGGAGTTCAAGGTGGTAGCTTTGTCTGCTTGTTCCAGAAATAATCTGAGTGTCATGACTGGGTACTGATTATGAGAAGAGTAAAATAATATTTTTATGTTTGACAGAAATGTCCATATTCTTTGACTGTTTGGTAAGCGGAGTGGGGGCAGGTAGTGAGAAGGTCCAATACCATTAGTCTTTGTGGTGGCACATCCATGTACAAGCAGTTGGAACACTGGAGAACTATAAGTAATGAGCAACCAGAAACATAAGAGAGGTGATATCACAGTCATGAATGCCAGAACTGTGAAGTTTTAAGAGAATGAGAGATGGTTCGTGATTTGAAAAGTTACCAAGAGATTAACCATTTGTCATTAAGTGGATGCTAACTCATGGCAAGTCTGTGTGTCAAAGTAGATGTATACTCCATAGGTTTTAAGGGGCTAATTTTTTGGAATTAGATCACCAGGCCGTTCTTCTGAGTCTCCTCTCAGTAGACTGTAACGTCAAGCCTTTGAGTTAGTAGCCAAGTGTGTTAACCATTTGAATCACTCTGGGACTCCTACTTAGAGATTTGTTATTGTTGCTAAGTGCCATGAATCAGTTCTGACTCTATAGTGACCCTGTATAGAGTTTTCCAGGCTGTAAATCTTTCCAGACTGTAGAATAAAGTCTCATATTTGTCCTGTGAAGTGGCTGGTAGATTCAAACAAGAGAGTAAAGGAATATAGTAATTAGAGTAGGTTTAGCATGGGGTTTCCAAAGAACATATTAACTAAATGTTAGACTTACAGAAGTCTTTCTTAAAGAGCTGACTGAGGATGCTAGAGGTAAAGGCAACTGAGAGGAGCCTCAGAAGAAAGGCCTGGTGATCTACTTCCAAAACATCAGCCATTGAAAGCACTATGGAGCAGAGAAAAAAGCTCGGCAGTGTCCCATATTGAAGTCGATTGACAGTGACAGAAGAGTACATGTAACAAGGGTTAAGAGTCTGTTAAAATTGGGAAACTCAAGTACATGTGAGAAGACAAAGGGATAAAATAAAGTACATGTGACAGGACAAAAGGGTAAGAGATATTGGATCAAAAACAAAGATACTTGAGGAAACTACACATGTGGAAGCTTGGTTCCGAGGACCAGGGAAGCACCAATGGTTGTGGGGGTTGGGGAAGGGAGGGAATAAAAGGAGGAAAAAAGAGATTTAAAAAGATCAGTAACTGATACGCGAGCATCAGTATACCTACCACTATATGTAACCCGTCAACTGATCTTATTTTTCCACATTTGCTTCAAATTTGTTTTTAGAGATTAAAAAACTATCATTTTGAAGCCCCTCCTTATTCCTTTTGCCTCCCCTCTACTGTCCTAAACTCAGTTTTATCCTTTCCATCCATGTTTCCAAAGAAAGGTGACTCAACAGAACGAGGAAATCAGTGAATAATATCATTAATATCACATACAACTGAAATTGCTGAAGATAAGGAATTGCTAGAATTCAAACTGGATTCTAACAGGGTGTGGAACAAATAGGATATCATTGCTGACATTAAATGGATTTTAGCTGAAAGCAGAGAGAAGTTTACCAACTGGCAAAGGCGTTTGACTGTGTTGTAGCTGTGAGTTAATACATGGGACTGCAAGGTCAGTTTGAACTACAAGATCGGCGATTCCCCCACCAGCCCCTAGGAAACCTTGTACTGGACCTCTATGAGTGCCCTTGGGTAAGTTCTGACTCATAGCAGCCTTACGTACAACGAAAAGTTGATCCTGTACCATCCTCACAATTGTTATGCTTTATCCCATTACTGCTGCCACTGCCAATCCAATTCACTGGGGGTCTCCCTCTGTTTTGCGGACCGTACACTTTACCAAGCATGATGTCCTTCTCCAGAGAATGGTCCCACCTGATCACATGTCCAAAGTATGAGAGACGAAGTCTCCCCATCCTGGCTTCTAAGAAGCATTCTGGCTATACTTCTTCCAAGAGAGACCTGTTTGTTCTTTTGGCAGTTCATGGTACTTTTAATATTCTTTTCCAATGCCATAATTTAAATATACCAACTCTTCTATGGTCTTCCTTCTTCATTGTCCAACTTTCACATTCATATTGTTGTTGTTCTTAAGTGCCGTCGAGTCGATCCCGACCCATAGCGGCCCTGTGTAGGGTTTCTGAGGAGCAGCTGGTGAGCTTGAACCGCCAGCCTTGCAGTTCAAACGGCTTTGCAGTCCTGGCACATTAACCCACAGCACCACACCAGGACTCCCACATTCATATTAGGCTACTGAATAAAATCATAGCTTGAGTCAGGCACACCTTAGTCCGCAAACAGACATCTTTGCTCTTGAATACTTTAAAGAGGTGTTGCGCAACATATTTGCCTAATGCATTACATCATTTGATTTTTTTTTTTTTTTGAGTTTCACATTAATTGTTACTTTATTTGCTTAAAACCTACACAATATTGTCAATTTGAAAAGAAATTCACTGTGATATATATAGATTGAAATTGCCATTTTTTCATCTTTTTTTTTTTTGCTCCCAGGGGTAGGAGGAGTAGGAGGGGAAATATACTTGGTGAAAGTTTATTCAAGAAACAAACAGATACACATACATTTTTAAAATATGAATAATTAGAGAACAAGTGATTTCAGTTTTGGCAGCCCCTGCCTTTTTTTTTTCTTTCTGTTTTAAAATATAAGCTTCTTAAAGACTGCAGCAGAATAAAGGGTCACTGACTGGCGTCTCTGAAATAACAAACGATGAGTACAATAGAAAACCTTCTCTCTCAAACAAGGCCAGGCAATCCTGTTCCCACACCCTCCCCATACCAAAATAACAATATGAATACTTTTAGTAACAACTCAGAATTCATCTTTATCTCCTCCTGTCTCTCATCAGTGGAAGTTTAAAATCATGATTAAAAAAAAGACATCGAAACTCGTATATATAAACCATAAAAGCTCATATTAGAGAACAGCTGAATTTCTTTTCAAAGTGCAAGTAGCGAAAGAAGCAATATTTTAAATTAAAATCTTTCTGTACTTTTTGCTTAGCATTCAACTTGTTTTTATTTAGCAAAAAGCAACAATTTTATAGTGTTAATCTTAAATCTTATTGCCTTACCACTGGTATACCTTCCATTAAAATAAAGAAATGAAGCAGTCAATCCAGTGATTAATTGTAAATCTTATTGCCTTACCACTGGTATACCTTCCATTAAAATAAAGAGACGAAGCAGTCAATCTAGTGATTAATTGACATGACTTTGAGTGGAGACTGGGGTGGTTGGGGGAGTGGGTGGCAAAGAAAAGACCAACTTCCACAAAGTAGCTTTACCAAAGCAGACTGCCACATGATTCTCCCATAGAATCATTGGTGGGTTCAATCCTCTGACCATTTGATTAGCAACTGAGCACATAACCACTGCACCATCAGAAAAGCAGAAAAGATGGTATAAAGGATGCAGCATTTCTGGGCCCCTTTGAATGGGAGTGGGGAGAAAGGGTATAGTCAGAGCAAATACTGGGAAAGCTGGGGGTGGGGGGGAACTGAGGAAATTGGCCTGGAGGGGCAGACAGAAGAGAATGAGAGGGATGGGGCAGGGGGGAATGTGGGACACCATTGAAAAGGTCTTGAAACAGTGGCTGTGGAGAGTAATGATTATAGCAAACTCCCCCTGGTGCCTACTGTGGGTCATTCACTGTGCTAAGTGAAGTCATATGGCTGGCCCCTTCAATCCTCAGATACCTGATGGTAGATACAATTCTCTTTTCCCACTTTACCGATGAAGAACCTGAGAGAGAGTCATGATATACCAGTCTTCCAGAAATTGCGTAACATGTATTGCTGCAATAAATTGAAAGAGCAGATAAGAGAATCCAGCTTCTATCAAGTCAAACATTAAAGAGAACTGCA